CTCAATTGGCAATGTAAAATATAAACAGATATTTTATCGAGCGTTTCAATTGAAAATCTATTCATTTGCTGTTAAACCGAAATTGTTATTGTGTTTTCTGCTGTTGTTGTGGTTGTAACTGTTCTTATTTGTACAAACGTTACATATGCGAAAATATTTTACTGAAAAACAACTTATTTTTTTTGTTCCATATAGGTCGGTACTGTTAGTTTTTATAACTTCACGCGAATTGGTGTTTTCAATATTCCACAGTATTCTTTGTCCCCACTTATTATTTTTCTGTTTCAATACATATAAAGCAATTTTCATAGATCAAATAGATTTACACAATACCAGTATACCTTGGTAACCTCTACTTTAAGTATATTTTTAATTCCTGAAACTACAAATAAAGAAAAAAAATTAATTAATCCCACTATTTTTCAAAACAAATATACTTTGCTTAAAAGTTAATTTAATATAATATAAGTCAACGCTTAATTATCAAAATGTAATCTATAATACTTGATATTTACGAAGCGATTTAAAATTATATGTGTATACATATATATTTTATTAATTGAATACAGGGGATTTTTTTTGTTTTTACCCCCCTCCAAAACTAATTATTTTTATACAAAACTTATGTAACTTAAATGGTAAAATATATATTACTAAATTTTTAAATGAAGGATATTATACTAAAAATGCATTTTTCAGCCGAGTTTGCAACCACGAAAGTATAAAATTACACACGGAAACCCCGAAATTTCAACAACCCTCCCTCCTCCTGGGAAAAAGGCTGAATGTTTTTAAAACTTGTTTGGCGCAATTTCAAGATTTAACAACTAATAAGTGAAATTAATTCCAAATTTGTGTGGAATTTAAACAGTTTCCAATAGAAAAGATAGAATTTTTTTCTTTATTTCACTTTTCGAAGCAGTTTTAGGGATTTAGGTCGGGAAAATTAAACCGAAGGTATATTATCTAGAACAGAACTATAACATATACAATTTTCTAAAAAAAAAAAAACTGTGATCAAACTTTTTTTATATTAAGAAAAACCCCCCCAGAAAAGGGGGAAATTACACTTTTACTGTAGTCAATTTCCAGGTTGCTATGTGTGAGTGAGTAAATAGACAATGAAAATATTTGATTTTTATGGTTAACAACGAAAATTGTTTAATTGAAATTGTTTATTAAATAGTCAATGTCCACTGGTTTCACCAGAGATAACAAAAAGTGAATACATTTAAAACAAAAATGTAACCCAAATCATATCCACTCTTAAACTGAAAATTCATTTTTGAGCACATAATTGACATTAGGTACAATGCTATTATCGATATTTGTTTTTTTATCTGTGATTACTGGATTGCTCTTTGAGGCCCAAATTTTGATTTCCAAACCATAATATGTAATGTTTTATTTTATGCGCTGAATTTTCGTTATATGTTATAAATGCGTAAACAACACACGGTAAGTAAAATTTTTTTGACTATTATTATATTTTGGGTCCATGCATTTTTTACTTGAGTAATATTATTTATTAAAACTCATTTTCTTCATAGCAATAGTATAAGTGACTTATTAATTAAATAAGCCGTTGTCCAATTATACAGATTAAATAGTGTACTTATATATACAGGGTGACTGGTTAATTCTGCCCCAATCAGTTTTATAAAAAATAAAATACGTGTTGGGGCAGAATTAACCAGTCACCCTGTATATATAATGTGAAAAAACAAAAAAAAAACCGTACGAGTTTTTCAATTAGAACTTTAACTGGCTATAATTTCAAGAAAAAGAGTCGGATCGAGTTGAAATTTATAAGAAATATTTATTTAGTATGCCTGCAAACGTCAGTTGTATCAAATTTTAATTAAACCTATTTCCAATTTGAAAGTGATTTTATCCGAGAGGACTAGTACAGTAGAGTATAGGCATAATGGAATCAAAGCCACTAGGGGACGGAGAGATCACAGGTCTACAGGAATTATTATAAATAAAAGCGATAAAATTGAATAAAATCACTTTTAAATAAACGCTTTGATGTTTATTTGTAAATACAGAATCTCAATTTGATACTTTTTAACTTTGCTGGTTTATACTGTGCTTGGTATGGACTGTACTGGCGTGAAAATACTAACTACCGATTTGCATCGAAGCGTTTTTTCGAAAGTGATTTTATCAGATTTAAAAATTCCTGTAAACCTGTGACCTCCCCGTCCCACTATTTTACACACAACACTACAAGGTATTTTATACACTCGCGCATTTTATTATACTCGATTAAAAAAACAACAATTAAAATTCAGGTAAAAAGCAACAAATAGTCATGAGTAAAACGATTTATTATAAGATACATTAAATTTGGATATAAATGCAGTTTGGAACAATTGTTTTAATATAATAATAATAGTGCAGTATAATTTTTAGCAAGTTAACTCTAAGATTATTGGTCTGAATTGTAATAACTGAAAAGCATGCGAATACTTGTTACCATGTATTAGTGATGTTTATTAAACACACTAATTTATTTTTTTAAACAGTATCATACCCCGTGGGATCGACTTTCATAACAATCTTGTCTATACCAGTAAGAAAACAAAAATTACCTTCAACTTTAGCTTCTATTATATATGCTTCTGGGTTTCTTATACTTCTAAGCAATCCTTTTAGTCGACACAACCAGTCCGCCAAGTAGTCTTTTTTGTACTCAGTATTTTTATCTTAAAAAAATAAATTATTTAGAAATTTACCAAGCTTAACTTACTAGTTAATACATATATAGTTTAACACATAACTAATACACGTGATAAATACAATATACAGATTGTCCGTGTTGTGTAAATGGCCGGACAACCTGTTTATCATGGTCAGAAGGCATATCGTAATTTCATAATTAAATTTAAAAAAACTTAGAAGCTTTTGTATAAAATAGTTTTCCAAACAGGGTTTGGTTGACCAGTCAACATTTTTTAGCACATTATTGTTAATTTAAAAAGTTAATGAAATGTAATGTATGTGTTACCATTTAAGTTTAAAAAATTGCCATCTAAGTTAAAAAACTAATTCGGAAGGGGGTAAAAACAAAAAGAATTGTAGAAAATTGAGATCACATTGTATAAAAATATTATTAAGTCATAATGTCCAGAGAAATTAAGATTATATGTTTATTCCACCAGTTAAAGTTCTGACAACTTTTTAATTCATCTGAATCATTTTTTTTTTTAAATAATGTCTTTTTTATAAATATATACATAGATATAGCTACACAGGGTGTAATGTAAATTTCTACCGAGCTTTAAATGAGACATTGAGGATGCTCTATGGGAACAATATATGATATTCTACTATTATAATTTTATATAATATTTACTCATAAGAAGTACTGATTTTTGCACAAATTGTCTTGTAACGTCAAGAGTAAGTGTTCTTCTCAATTCTCCAAGCTCTTTCAACCCACAGTTTTCAAAATCTGTAAAAATAATAAATAACTGTGTCAATGACAAAATATTAAAAAAAAAAAATTAATTGCACGTGTTAAAATTGAAGAATATAATAAATTCAATAAACTGTGTTAATATAATTTTTTCATACTTCAAATTTAAATAACATATTTTATTTAATACCATATTTATACAACTATTACATACTATAAATACAATACTACAAAAAATGTTCATCAAATTTGTCAAGAAACAAGAAAAATGTTCATATTATATTCGAATAAAATACTAATAAGGTACTAATAATATTTTATGAATAATTTAAAAATAATAAAAACATATTCTATTTTTAGCACTTATAATTTATTTTTTATTTTTATGAAGTTACGGAGGACATCGAAACCGTTTGGCCCAAACTTGTCCATTATATTTACAATTAAGATTATTAATTTTCAGATAAGAATAACAAATGTATAACCATTAAGTCTTAGAACTAATTACGATTAACAAATTAATGCATAATTACCTTTATTTTTAATATCACGAACAGGATGAATACCTGTAACAGAAATATTAAATAATTTAACAGTAAATGAAATCCCATTTTATATTTTATCTATAATAATAGTATCTAATACTGAGTTTGTTGAGAATAATTAATATTAGGCATTTGAATAATTATTATTTTTGAATTTGGATATTCTCAAATTAATATACCTACCTAAGACTTTGGATATTACTTGTTGCAAGTCAGTTTGGTAATTTATGTATTCTATAATTAAAAACAAAAAAAGTTATTAATTTTATTCTAAATTTTTTTTTTAAATAGAAAGAAATATGTAAGTACAAAACAAATCTTGTTTTCTAGCTAATATTTATAAGATTAATTACCCTGTAATTTTTTCTGGATTGTTGGTGCTGGAATTAAAACGAGAAAATGTTATCAAATAACTATGTGCAAACACGTCCATATACACTTGAGAAATATTATTACCTAGTTTAGCCAACAACCTATTCATTTTATCTGAAATTTACATAACATAAATGGATTAGATAATGATATTGGTATTATTATTTTATTTTATTATTTGACCCGGTTTGGCTCAACGGCCTATTGTTCAAACTGAAAATGTTTCTCCCTGCTCCTCATTTCCTAATAATAAAGTCCAACTTATAATTGAAATATTCATGGTTATTGCACATATACCCCTTCTTTATCTTTAGAAATAAAAATGTTAGTATATAACAAATCTTGTTTTTTATACAGTATCCATATATATGACGATGTAAAGTATTCTAATTTTAATATTTATAAGATTAATTACCCGGCAGGCAATTTCGACTTGACGATACTGGAATTAAAACAAGAAAATATTTTCAAATAACTTTGTGCAAACACGTCCATTTACACTTGAGAAATATTATGCACATATACACCTTCTTTATCAAATAATCGATTAAAGTATCATTTATACTGGGTGATACTGCTGAGTGTCTACCCATAAACGATAGCTTTAATGTCAACCTTAATTTTATTCTACATATTTTTTATATATATATATATATAAATTACCCTTCCAATCTTCTTCATTAATTTCCTCGATTGGCGGTGCTGTAATTAAAACGAGAATATTTTATACTTAATATGAAATAACTATGTGCAAACACGTCCATACACTTGAGAAATATTATTACCTGGTGCAGCCAACATAAAAACCATTTTCTCTGAAATTTACATAACATAAATGGATTAGATAATGATATTGGATTTATTATTTTATTATATTACATGGCCAGGTTTGGCACGACGGCCGATTGTTCAAACTGAAGAAGTCACTTTTAGTTTTTACAATTTTCTAAGCTTAAATACATTTTTATCAAATTATATTATAATTACTCATTTTTGCATTTTCATCCAAAATTGTTTTAATTACTTTTTGCATACCCAATACTATAAACAAATAATGGGTTTTTAGGACTTAAAAATACATTTTAATAATAAATATATATATGTATATCAATTACCCTTCCAATCTTCTTCATTAATTTCCTCGATTGGCGGTGCTGTAATTAAAACGAGAATATTTTATACTTAATATGAAATAACTATGTGCAAACACGTCCATACATTTGAGAAATATTCATACCTGTTACACCATATAGAATAGCAATTTTCTCTGAAATTTACATAACATAAATGGATTAGATAATCATATTAGATTTATTATTTTATTGTATTATTTGACCAGGTTTGGCACGACGGCCTATTCTGCCCTCCTAAACAAAAATGCCGTAACTCGAAAAATAAAAAAATTAAAAACCCTTTAAATAAAGTAAAATGGTATATATATATATATAAATACAGGGTAGCCCACAAATATTTGACAAATGAAATTACTTTTGTTCTATTGAATATTTTTGAGATTTTTTTTATATATATATATATAATATTAATACCTGGAGGAAGAAAATTCACCTCCGCGATTTGTCTACCTATAATAAATTAATGAAGATAAGTAAATGCAAATTTTTAATCACCAAGTTGAATTTGTATAATAAAAAAAATTACTGACTTGTGATGACAAGCTGCTTCTTATATAACGCTGTAAAAGAGTGATTTTTTTAAAAAAATTGTTTAGATTTTTAATCATCTTGAAGGGGTAAGCGTGAAAATACAATAAATAATAAATACCTAGTTTATCTTCTGCTAAAACATTAACAGCGACGAACAAAATCAAAACACAAACACGTTTCATTTTTATCTGCAAAAAACAGTAAACATCAAAGCCTATTGTATTGAAGATTATAGATTTAAATGTTTATTTAACTTTTTTTAATATCTTTATGTGGCTAGTCTATGGGTAAGAAATCGTACTTGAAAGATACTTTCCTAAATATTTAATGTCAAATTAAAAAAAAAAGCTATTTTTGAATATAGAAAAATGGCCACGCCAATAATAATTGTACAAAAATGTATATACATATGATAATTTTTTGGGTATTTTCTTGAGTTTGAAAGAGAAGAGGGTACAATTTTTAAATTTTCGGCTCAATAAAGTAGAAGAAATTAGTTAAGCGATTAAGTAAATATATTGGATCTAGTTAAAAAAAAAAAACTTTTAAAAATATTTTATTGCAGAAACAATAGCATTTCATCTCCGCATCAAAGTTAAAATCGAATTTTGCTTACTGGCAATCTTTGAAGTTATGGTAGAACTCTTGTGAACCTTATGGTTAACAACCGTTTCAAAGTGTTTTGCATGTAAATCGTCAACCGAAACGGTAAAAACAGAATAAGTTTTGCAGTTTGCAAAATATGTACTTTATATCGAAACGATTTTAAAGTAAATAAGATGCAAACAGATTATTTACAAACGGGTAAGAAATTTTAAACTAGGTCTCATTACTCATCATAGTTTTTTTCTATACATTTTGTATTTTTTGAAGTATTTCCTAAGATAGTGTTGATAAGAGATCAATTTAGTTTATAAATATAAGTAAAACTTTTTCAGTTGATTTTAAAACCTATCATGTTAAACTATTATTTTCATCGTAGCCGAGTATCAAAATTGTATCAAGAAACAAGAAAACAAAATAATATATTATTGTAAAACGTATATTATTCCTACAACGCTGTGTAAATGAACAAAACTAACAATAACACAATGTGTTTCTCCGGTTTCGTTATTATTTATTCAACCGAAAATTACTGCGTTTAGTCTGATATTATTAATGCGCCCATTGCAAAACCTTGGCTAAATGTTATCTATAAGTCTTAAAATATTATTTTTTGTTCTATACGATTTTAAATCCAAATTTGAAATACTGACAATTGTTCTACATTTTATATACTAATTGTTTAGATAAAAAATAAATGGCCCCAAAATATAATAACAATGAAAATCGTTTTAACTTTGGAAATTTCAATTAATATAACTAGGTCGATGAAAAAAATGTTGTTTTTGGTTATATTTTTAAAACAATTTTACTTAAATATAAAACTAATAAATTTTTTTTATAAAACTGAGATTATTTTACATTGAAACCGATTTATTATAATTTATTTTGATGGCCGAAGATACATAAAAAAAAACGATTAAAAAATTGTCTAATGAAACATAAACAAAACTATCTTAATAAAAAATTACCAAATGTGAATTATTTTTCGATGGTATATTTATAAATAATCAAATGAACTGTATTATTTTTAAGTGACAACTTTGGTTTTTAACGTATTCGAATTACACACAAAATTTAAAAAATGTCATTAACATCAGATTTAAGTAGTTCTTAAAAATGTCAAAAGGCTTGCAATAGTTTTTAAACAGTCACTGTTTAATTGTAAATAGTAAAACACCACTGCACTTGATTAGCAATGACAATAATAAAATATTTCAACATAACTATGTTCTTAAGGCCTAAATTATAGAAACATTGTCAACCTATGATTTTTTAAGACCTACAAAATTCTAATTTAAAAATGTACATCAATAAGTGCACACACAAAAATAAATTTGAGGGAAATGGTTTTATAAACTAAACATTGTATAAATACAATAGAATTAAAATAATTAAAATATTGACAAATTCTCACTTTACCTAATAATGAGTTCAAAAGAGTTAGCATAAAACATTTCGTGTAAAATAGTCTTTCCTGTCATTATACACAATTAAATAATATGTATTTCAATTTAATAAGATATATGAATATATTTATAAAACATACAATATAAATGGCACAACAAATTGACTTACTTACCCAGCACTAAAAAGGGAAGAAAAGGGGTTCTTAAACACAGCTACCACTATTTACATACCACAATTGCGGTACATGGTTTTGGTTAGTGCCATAGATGTATATATAATGGAACACCGTTAAAATGGTCAGGATTAAAGTTTAATATTTAAATTACATAATAATAATATATTGTCAACCCGCAAATTCACCCAATCGTGCGGCTAATATAATTTTTTAAACGATTATCGTGTGTCATCACAACAATAGCAATAATATCACTCCGGTCTTCCTAATCTCAAAAATGCGGGCGGCAGCCTTGTTGAAGACCGGGGGATGACACCACTCCTACCAAAAATCATGTTATTTCATGGTACATTTTTCCTAATCAACATTATTTTCCAGTGACCATTTTTTCTGTTAACCACTTGTTCCAAACTGGAAAAATAATAGATTGGAAAAAAAGGTTATCGGGTCGTTACTTTTTACACTTACAACAATACCTTAAAACCTACCTACGCTAGGAAATGTGTCAAAATTGTTGTAATGTTCAGTATAAAAATTCTCATATTTACATAAACTTATGTATATTGTAAAAAGGCCTTTGCATAGTATGTTCTCTTTCGAATTCCAGCAAGTATAATAATAATTTCAACCATTGCATCAGCCCCTAACCTAACCTAGCCTGTTGTTTTTTAAATTGTTCTCAATTGGCAATGTAAAATATAAACAGATATTTTATCGAGCGTTTCAATTGAAAATCTATTCATTTGCTGTTAAACCGAAATTGTTATTGGGTTTTCTGCTGTTGTTGTGGTTGTAACTGTTCTTATTTGTACAAACGTTACATATGCGAAAATATTTTACTGAAAAACAACTTATTTTTTTTGTGCCAAATAGGTCGGTACTATTAGTTTATATAACTTATGCGAATTGTTGAAGACGGGGGATGACACCACTTCTACCAAAAACCATGTTATTCCATGGTACATTTTTCCTAATCAACATTATTTTCCAGAGACCATTTTTTCTGTTAACCACTTGTTTCAAACTGGAAAAATAATAGATTGGAAAAAGTGGTTATCGAGTTATCGTTACTTTTTACTCTTACAACAATATTTCCCAATTTTAAAATATCCTAAAATGACCATTATGAGGTGTTTTTATACTCGTATGTTATTTCATATCGAAACGATTTAAAGGTAAATAAGAAGCAAAACAAAATTTACCAACTGTGTGTATTTTGGAAACCTAACATTGGGCCTCCGGTTAGCGAGTTCTGTACTCGATTAAAAAAACAACAATTAAAATTCAGGTAAAAAGCAACAAATGAGTTTATAGTCATGAGTAAAACGGTTTATTATAAGATACATTAAATTTGGATATAAATGCAGTTTGGAACAACTGTTTTAATATAATAATAATAGTGTAGTATAATTTTTAGCAAGTTAACTCTAAGATTATTGGTCTGAATTGTAATAACTGCAAACCATGCGAATACTTTTTACCATGTATTAGTGATGTTAATTAAACACACTAATTTATTTTTTAAACAGTATCATACCCCGTGGGATCGACTTTCATAACAATCTTGTCTATACCAGTTAGAAAACAAATTTGACCTTGAACTTTAGCTTCTGTTATATATGCTTCTGGGACTCTTATACTTCTAAGCAATCCTTTTAGTCGACACAACCAGTCCGCCACTTTTTTGTACTCATCTTCTTTATCTTAAAAAAATTAATTATTTAGAAATTTACCAAACTTAATTTACTAGTTACTACATATATAGTGTAACACATAACTAATACACGTGATAAATACAATATACAGATTGTCCGTGTTGTGTAAATGGCCGGACAACCTGTTTATCATGGTCAGAAGGCATATCGTAATTTCATAATTAAATTTAAAAAAACTTAATCTGAATCATTTTTTTAAAATTATATATATATATATTATTGTATATAGTATATATATATATATATATATATATAGATACACAGGGTGTAATGTAAATTTCTACCGAGCTTCAAGTGAGACATTGAGGATGCTCTATGGAAACAATAAATGATATTCTACTATTATAATTTTATATAATATTTACTCATAAATAATGCTTGTTTTTTCACAAAACGTGTTGTAACGTCAAGAGTTAGTTGTCTTCTCACTTCTCCAAGTTCTTTCAACCCACAGTTTTCAAAATCTGTAAAAATAATAAATAACTGTGTCAATGACAAAATATTAAAAAAAAAAAAATTAATTGCACGTGTTCAAATTGGAGAATATAATAAATTCAATAAACTGTGTTAATATAATTTTTTCATACTTCAAATTTAAATTACATATTTTATCTAATAACATATTTATACAACTATTATATACTATAAATACAATACTACCAAAAAATGTTCATCAAATTTGTCAAGAAACAAGAAAAATGTTCAAATTATATTTGAATAAAGTACTAATAAGGTTCTAATAATATTTTGTGAATAATTTAAAAATAATAAAAACATATTCTATTTTTAGCACTTATAATTTATTTTTTATTTTTATGAAGTTACGGAGGACATCGAAACCGTTTGGCCCAAACTTGTCCATTATATTTACAATTAAGATTATTAATTTTAAGATAATAATAAAAAATGTCTAACCACTAAGTCTTAGAACTAATTACGATTAACAAATTAATGCGTAATTACCTTCATTTTTAATATCACGAACAGGATGAATACCTGTAACAGAAATATTAAATAATTAAACAGTAGATAAAATCCCATTTTATATTTTATCTATAATAATAGTATCTAAAACTGAGTTTATTTAGACTAATTATTAGGCATTTGAACAATTATTGTTTTTGAATTTGGGTATTTACAAATTAATATACCTACCTAAGACTTTGGATATTACTTGTTGCAAGTCAGTTTGGTAATTTATGTATTCTATAATAAAAAACAAAAAAAGTTATTAATTTAATTCTAAATCTTTTTTTTAAATAGAAAGAAATATGTAAATATAAAACAAATCTTGTTTTCTAGCTAATATTTATAAGATTAATTACCCTGTAATTTTTTCTGGATTGTCGGTGCTGGAATTAAAACGAGAAAATGTTATCAAATAACTATGTGCAAACACGTCCATATACACTTGAGAAATATTATTACCTAGTTTAGCCAACAACCTATTCATTTTATCTGAAATTTACATAACATAAATGGATTAGATAATGATATTGGATTTATTATTTGACCAGGTTTGGCTCGACGGCCTATTGTTCAAACTGAAAATGTTTCTCACTGCTCCTCATTTCCTACTAGTAAAGTCCAAATTATGATTGAAATATTCATGGTTATTGCACATATACCCCTTCTTTATCTTTAGAAATAAAAATGTTAGTATAAAACAAATCCTATTTTTTATACATTATGCATATATCTGACGATGTAAAGTATTCTAATTATAATATTTATAAGATTAATTACCCGACAGGCAATTTAGACTTGACGGTACTGGAAATAAAACGAGAAAATGTTATCAAATAACTTTGTGCAATCACGTCCATTTACACTTGAGAAATCTTATTACCTGGTGCAGCCAACATAAAAACCATTTTCTCTGAAATTTACATAACATAAATGGATTAGATATTGGATTTATTATTTTATTATATTATATGGCCAGGTTTGGCACGACGGCCGATTGTTCAAACTGAAGAAAGAGACTTTTAGTTTTTACAATTTTCTAAGCTTAAATACATTTTTATCAAATTATATTATAATTACTCATTTTTGTATTTTCATCCAAAATTGTTCCAATTACTTTTTGCATACCCAATACTATAAACAAATAATGGGTTTTTAGGACTTAAAAATACATTTTAATAATAAATATATATATATATATATATCAATTACCCTTCCAAGCTTCTTCATTAATTTCCTCGATTGGCAGTGCTGTAATTAAAACGAGAATATTTTATACTTAATATGAAATAACTACGTGCAAACACGTCCATACACTTGAGAAATATTAATACCTGTTACACCATATATAATAGCAATTTTCTCTGAAATTTACATAACATAAATGGATTAGATAATCATATTAGATTTATTATTTTATTGTATTATTTGACCAGGTTTGGCACGACGGCCTATTCTGCCCTCCTAAACAAAAATGCCGTAACTCGAAAAATAAAAAAATTAAAAACCCTTTAAATAAAGTAAAATGGTATATATTATATATATATATATATATAAATACAGGGTAGCCCACAAATATTTGACAAATGAAATTACTTTTGTTCTAGTGAATATTTTTGAGATTTTTTATATACAGGGTGATCCAACTAACGTAAGACACTCATTTTCTCTGAAAGTATGAATATTTTGCGAATTTTTTTTCCCCTAAAATTTAAGGTACATATTTAAGTACATTTTTCAATATTTAGAAAAATTGTATCTTCAACCCTTATACGTTAAAGAAGTACGAACCTCGTTTTTTCAAATGGGAACATATGTTTTAAATTCCATAAATATAAAGACAAAAAATCTAAAAAAATGTTAGCGTTTCAATTTTCAATTTTCATCTATTTGTTCCCTGTTTATGACTTTGTAAAGATTTGAATTTTTTTCTATATTTCTTAATAATTTTATTCGATTTGACAAAGACAAGTAGTTTTATTATGACGGCCATCACATCAAATATAATAATAATTTGATGTTAACGCATTCCGTATCATAATCAGATATAATAAATAACCACACATTATTAGACGAAAGGTAGACTGTTACGGATAACGGACTTTACACTTTACACATCTCGGATAGCAATCTAGTATCTAAACTATGCATCAGTTACCACGGAATAATCGAGTGACCAGTAACTATAATATATTTTATTATTTGTACAAAATCGCATTTTATTTATTATTTGTACATAACCTCTATCGCTAACAAATTTTGACTTCACAGTTCACACGTTTTCCATTTGTGAAATGAGAAATTACAAACTTAATTAAAAAATGTTAGTAAATTTAAATTTTACTTTATAGTAAATATGATAGCATGCTTATTGTAGTTATGTCATAACTCGTTATTTTATAATTTTTTAAATATATCAATTGATAATATTTGCTCTCGACTTTATTTTGACGTTACATTCTTGGACACACCATTAATTTAATAGGTAAGTGTATTAAAGTTTAATAGATAATTTAATACAATACTAATTCAATTAGCTTTTTTATTTTAGGTTGAATGCTTTTTTCCGAAAATCTTTTATCATTTAAAAATCAATGTTATCATGTCAGAAATATCTATGGCGTTGGGAATAGGCTATACCAATTACTATGGAAATGTCTTTTCAATTGGACCCAAGACTGAAGACCTTACAATTTTATATCAAGGTGTAAATTATAAATATAAAGCATTAATTTAATAGGTAAGTTTATTAGAGTTTAATGGGTAATTTAATACAATACGATTTCAATTAGCTTTTTTAATTTAGGTTGAATGCTTTTTTACTGAAAATATTTCATCTTTTAAAAACCAATGTTATCATGTCAGAAAAATCAATGGCGTTGAGATTAGGCTATACCAATTACTATGGAAATGTCTTTTCAATTGGACCCAAGACCTTACAATTATATATCAAGGTGTAAATTATAAGTATAAAACATTTATTTCTAATGTGACATTTTTTCATGTGAATGTATAATATCATCACTAAGCAATTTGAATGAAAAGTGTGTTGTGTTGTGTTAACTTAAAATAATTATTAATGCATGTATTTGTGTATGTGGGTTGATAATACTCACATACCCGTTTCATTTATTTTTAAAAATATCAGTAATTAATGTATGCATTTCATATTACTACATACAAGGAAACACTTCTTGATAATACCATTATTGTTTTTTATTTTATTTTAAGCCTATGTAAGTATATTATTTTTATTTGATTAAACTTATCTAAGGTAGTTCAAATGTCTGCTTTCAGTTTAGTTATTTCTTACAATGAGCTAACCCATATATTGTGTGTTTAACATACATTACGGATATTTGATCATAAAGTTTTAGCTATAACTGACACGGGTATTTGGCTATCAAAGTTAAATTTTATATCAAATTTATTAATATACAATAATTCTCTCTTTGAAAAGTTGTAATTCTATTAATTTGTATTTAATGAATTCAGTAAATCAAGTAAATTATTTTTTTGAATTTGCCTAAGATAATTAATGTTAATTTTATTTTTGTTAGATTTGTTTAAGTACCAACGTTTGTTAAAAAAAAGAAATTAAAATCAGTATAATAGAAGTTGAACAATTTCAATTTCAAATTTATAGTTATTGTTTTTGTTTCATATTTTTTATTGAATATTTCAAAATAGTAACATTTGTAATTTTTAAATTTATTGTTATATTAATAATAAGTTTATGAATAGTTTATTAGTTAAATACTTATATTATCAGACAAAAGAGTATTATTGTTCTTTAAATGTTATACTATACTATCTATTCGTCGTTGAAATTTATCAATACAATTGTGTTATCAATTTTTAAATTTTGTAAAGTCCACACAGCAAAAATTAATGCAAATTGTTTTTAAATCTTTAAAGTAGGAAAAATGTTGCAAATATTCTTTTAACCATTATTTGTATCATTAAATGTAAACAAATTTTATTTTTAACAACTATGCATTCTAAGACATAAGTCAGTATAATTTATTTTATAAATATTTGTATTTATAAATAAATGTAATATACATACATGTATGTGTATAAAATCAGACAAACTTGTCGCGTACAAATTCCGTAAAATTTAAATCCTCAAAAATGAGTTTTATTACAGAATAATTATTAAATTTAGAGACTACAATTTAGCAAAGGCTATTTTTGATTTAATATTGCTACTTTTACATAATCTTAGTAAAACGTACCCGTTATAATAGTTTAATAATGTCAATACTTTAATTTGTTTGGTAAACAAGGAAACATCACACAATGGTTTTCTTTTTAAACAACTAAAATCTATTAAGCTTTTAATTTTCTAGATATTAAATAGTGAAGAAAATAAGAAAATACTGATTATAAAATCAAAAAAGCGGCTTCAACTGTAAAAGAATTAACTGTTCAATTTAAAATGTTTAAAACAGACATATTTTATTATAAAGACTTTAGAATCACTATTACTATAACATTATACATCTTATAAGTTATAATAATAGTTAGTAAGTACTAATAAAAGGATTAGAATTATATAAACTATTTAATTTGATTTGTAATTAATAAAATAAAAAAGACAAGTTCTGATCATTTAATGTTTGCGTGACACAAACCTTAACTTTATTTCTGAAAACAAATCACAGGTGAGTTTGAGTATCATTGTATGATTTAGTGTAATTGAGTCACAAACTTTTGGACCATATTTTTATTAATGGGATCTAGATAAGAAAGTAACTTACTTTAAAAAAAATAAAATGTCAGTGTTGTTGAAGAATTTACCGTTACGGAAACAAGAAATCTTAACACTGTTTAAAAATATCTAGTCTTAGACTACTTAATCATTTAAACACAGTCCACTTGACTGCATTATTTTATTAATAAAGTTGTTTATAAAAAAAAAAAAGTTAGTTATAAATGTAAAATAGGCAACATTTTAAATATTTACTGTAGAATTAAAATAGTAAGCAATTTAAATCTAAAATTCCTTATTTAGTGTAAATTGTTTGAAACAATTATTTGAGCACAAAACATATTTTGAATAAATTCAATATAACTAAACAAATAATAGTAACACTTCCCGACGATTGTCCATTTAATGTATGCACTTATGAGATTGTAAGCCAAATTTTAAAGCTATTGTTTACTACCTATAAAAACTATAGACATTATAATTTTCATAATAGCCTAATATTAATCTGTTGTACTGTGCCGTCTGTGCTGTTACTTTTTGAATGTAGAATATAGATAGTAGAAAAATATGATAACTAGTTTAATGATAACACAGATATACATAATATTATATATATCTATGAATGATAATAATATTATGTATTATCATCATAGTAGCAGTTATCAACCTACTTGTACCACGGTTTTTAATTGTTGTGGTTGAATAGCCATTCGTTAGCCGCTGTCAATATAGGTCTGTCAACCTACCTATCATGACGGTGTGTTAGAAAAGTCGGTAATCTGTAAATATGAATCGCTGGTCAACTAAAATATCACAAAACATTTTATTGTGTTTGGTTATCTGTGTACTCACCTATCGGACAATGCGATCATAAATAAGTATTTTATTGGCCCGGTCTTTGGAAAACCAAAGAAATATAACAATATTTAAGAGAAAATGTAATATCTTTACAAAGTCATAGCTCACGACTAAATGGATGAAAATTAATAATTCAAACGAAAACATATTTTAAAATTTTTTTACTACAAATTTATTGAATTAAAAACATATGTTGCTATTTGAAAACGCGAACTTAGAACCTTTTTATCGTATAAGGGATGGAGATATAAATTTTCAAAGTATTGAAAAATATAGTAAAGCTTATACCTAAAAGAATAGAAAAAAAATAATTTTCAAAATATTTATATTTTCCGAGAAAATGAGTGTCTTACGTTAGTTGGATCACCCTGTATATAATATTAATACCTGGAGAAAGAGAATTCACCTCCGCGATTTGTCTATCTATAATAAATGAATGGAAATAAGTAAATGCAAATTTTTAATCACCAAGTTGAATTTGTATAATAAAAAAAATGACTGACTTGTGATGACAAGCTGCTTCTTATATAACGCTGTAAAAGAGTGATTTTTTTAAAAAAAT